ATTTATTTATTTTTGGCTGTGCTGGGTCTTCGTTTCTGTGTGAGGGCTTTCTCTAGTCGCGGCAAGCGGGGGCCTCTCTTCATCGCGGTGTGCGGGCTTTTCACCGTCACGGCCTCTCTTGTTGCCGAGCACAGGCTCCAGACGCGCAGGCTCAGTAGTTGCGGCTCACGGGCCCAGTTGCTCCGCGGCATGTGGGATCTTCCCAGACCAGGGCTCGAACCCGTGTCCCCTGCATTAGCAGGAAGATTCTCACCACTGCACCACCAGGGAAGCCCCTGAAACTAGTGAACTTTTGAGAATAACCGCTACGAGGGGTAAGGGAAGCAGGACGGGCAGAGGGAGAAATTGAACTGAGGTGCAGTTGCAACAACGTCCTCAGCTGATCTGCCAGGAAGCTCTGCAGTGGGTTGGACCACCAGGGAAGCCCCTGAAACTAGTGAACTTTTGAGAATAACCGCTACGAGGGGTAAGGGAAGCAGGACGGGCAGAGGGAGAAATTGAACTGAGGTGCAGTTGCAACAACGTCCTCAGCTGATCTGCCAGGAAGCTCTGCAGTGGGTTGGTCCTTAGAATTGTCCTGCCAGAGGAAAGGGAGGGAGGGCTTCCATACCCTGGACCAATCCACTGCCCTGGGGAAGGGGTCATGACTTCAGAGGAATCCATGCTCTTTGACTGAAGGCAATTTCTGCAGAGGGACTCAGCTGGGAGCCACTAAGTTTCCCGCAGCTAGAAGGAAGGGGTGCCTCCATCCATCCTGAATCGTGAATCTGGGTGACACCCTACACAATCCACTATACCAGGCCTCCTTGGGTGGGCTATTAGCTCCAGTAAGGAGTTCAGAGTGAGGACAAGTCACAGGGCCACCAGGAAGGGGAACTTGAGAGGCCATCAGGGGTGGGAGCATTTAATCAGAGAAAGTGGGGTAAAGGCTATCCAGGTGGGAATAAGTGTGGATAAGAGTACAGAGGAATATGAGAGTTGGGAATGTTCTAGGGTAGCAGGAGGGGGAGTTTGTGTAGGGAGGGGCAAGGGAGATATTTAAAAGAGGTGTTGGTAGCCTTGAATACCAGGGAAGTAAGTTGGGGCTCTCGTCTCAGAGTACCCAGGACGTGCCTTCCCCACCCAGGAACCCACGCTGGGGCTGTCTATATGGTCACTGGATGTTGAATTCCCACTGTCTCCTGCTAGGGACAATCTCCAGCCAGCTTCTCAGGTCTTGCTCTGACGTTTACTACAGGAATGCTGATGCATGGGCCAGGATACCAGAGCTTGCCTGGGCCCCACTAGCTGTGTGACACTGGATCGATTACTGCCCCTCTCTGAGCCTCACTTCCAGCATCTGTGAAATGAAAGCCTTGAAGTAGGGGAGCCCGGGCAACTGGCCTCACCCCCATTTAGGTCACAGAGAGACCTTATTATGGCCCTTGGTGAAGAGGCTCTTCTCTAGCGCTTGTCTCCTGTCCCACCTGCACAGGCTGG